AAACCAAGGTGTAATTAAAACGGCACCTAGTGTATGCAATGAACACATGTGAAACCACCTGAAACATAATCGGGTGCACGCAATAAATTGAAACATTACGGAGTATATTCAGTGAACCCCAGTGCAACAAAACTTAAACGTTACCCAGTGTATTCAGTGAACCCCAGTGCAACCAAATTTAAACATTACCCAGTATATTCAGTGAACCTGTGTGCGACCACCTGACACACTATTGAGTGTATTTAGTGAACCCGTGTGCAACCACCTGAAACATTGCCACAACCACCTGAACCCGTGTGCGACCACCTGAAACATTACTGAGTGTATTCAGTGAACCCGTGTGTAATCACCTCAAATACCACCCAGTGTATTTCACCTGAAACATTACTGAGTGTAATCAGTGAACCCGTGTACAACCATCCGAAACGTTACTGACTGTATTCAGACAACCCGTGTGCCACCACCTGAAACATTAGTGAGTGTATTCAGTGAACGTGCGTGCAACCACCTGAAAAATAACCGAGTGTATTCAGAAAACCAGTGTGCAACCACCTTAATTATTACCAAGTGTATGCAGTAAGCCAGTGTGCGACCACCTGAAACGTTACCGATTGTATTCAGTTAAACCGTTTGCAACAACCTGAAACATAACCGCATATATTCAGTGGACCCGTGTGCAACCACCTGAAACATTAACGAGTGTATTTAGTGAACCCGTGTGGACCACCTGATTCATTACCGAGTGTATTCAGTGAACCTGTGTGCGACCACCTTAAACATTAACGAGTGTATTAAGTGAACCCGTGTGCAAATACCCGAAACATTACCGAGTGTATTCAGTGAACGCGTTTGAAAACAAATGAAACATTATCAAGTGTATCGAGTGAACCCGTGTGTAGACAATGACACCTTGCCGATTATATTCAGTGAACCCGTGAGCAACCATCTGAAACATTACCGGGTGTATTCAGTGAATCCGTGAGCAACCACCTGAAACATTACCGCGTGTATTCAGTGATCCTATGCGAAACCACATCAAACATTACTGAGTGTATTCAGTGAACCCGTGTACAACCACCTAAAACATTACCGAGTGTATTCATTTAACCTATGTGCAACCACCTGAAACATTACCGAGTGTTTTCAGTGAACCTATGTGTAACCACCTATAGCATTGCCGAGTTTATCCAGTGAACCCGTGTGCAACCACCTGAAACATTGCCAAATGTATTTCAGTGAACCCGTGCGCAGTCACTTGAAAAATTACCGAGTGTTTTCAGTGAACGCGTGTGCTACCACCTGAAACATTACCGAGTGTATTCAGTGAACCCATGTGCAAGTACCTGAAACATTACCAAGTGTTTTAAGTGAACCTGTGTGCAGCCTAATGAAACATTACTGAGTGTCTTCAGTGAACCTGTGTGCTACCACCTGAAACGTTACCGCGTGCAATCATTGAACCTGTAAGCATCCAAATCAAACACTACCGAGTGTATTCAGTGAACCCGTATGCAACCACATAAAACATTACCGAGTGTATTCATTTAACCTATGTGCAACCACCTGAAACATTGCCGAGTGTATTTCAGCGAACCTGTGTGCAGTCATTTGAAAAATTGCCGAGTGTTTTCAGTTAACGTGTGTGCTACCACCTGAAATATTACCGAGTGTATTCAGTGAACCTATGTGTAACCACCTATAACATTGCCGAGTTTATCCAGTGAACCCGTATGCAACCACCTGAAACATTGCCAAATGTATTTCAGTGAACCCGTGCGCAGTCACTTGAAACATTACCGAGTGTTTTCGGTGAACGTGTGTGCTACCACCTGAAACATTACCGAGTGTATTCAGTGAACCCGTGTGCAAGTACCTGAAACATTTTCGAGTGTTTTCAGTGAACCCGTGTACAACCACCTAAAACATTACCGAGTGTATTCATTGAACCTAAGTGCAACCACCTGAAACATTGCGAGTGTATTTCAGTGAACCCGTGTGCAGTCACTTGAAAAATTACCGAGTGCTTTCAGTGAACGTGTGTACTACCACCTGAAACATTATCGGGTCTATTCATTGAACACGTGTGCAGTCACTTGAAACATTACCGTGAACCCGTGTGCAACCACCTTAAAAATGGCCAAGAATATTAAGTCAAGCCGTGCGCAATCAATTGAGACATTACCAAGTGTATTCGGTGAACCCTTGTCGAACCACCTTAAACATTACTGAGTGTATTCAGTGAACCCATGTGGTACCAAATGAAACATTTTTAGTGTACCACGTGAACCCATGTGCAACCATCTGAAACATTACCAAGTGTTTTAAGTGAACCTGTGTGCAGCCTAATGAAACATTACTGAGTGTCTTCAGTGAACCTGTGTGCTACCACCTGAAACGTTACCGCGTGTAGTCATTGAACCTGTAAGCAGCCAAATGAAACATTATCAAGTGTCTTCATGGAACCCGTGAACAGTCACTTGAAGCATTACCGAGTGTATTCAGTGAATTTGTGTGCTACCAACTAAAACATTATTGAGTGTCTTTAGTGAACCCTTGTGCAGTCACTTGAAGCATTACCGTTTGTATTCAGTGAACCCGTGTGCAACAACATGAAACACTCCCAAGAATATTCAGTCAAGCTGTGCGCAATCAACTGAGACATTACCGAGTGTATTCGGTGAACCCTTGTGTAACCATTTAAAAAACAACCGCGTGTATTCAGTGAACATGTGTGGAACCACCTGAAACTTTGCCTAGTGTATTCAGTGAACATGTGTTCAACCACCTGAAACATTACCGTGTGTATTCAGTGAACCAGTGTGCTACCACGTTAAACATTGCCGAGTCTATTCAGTGAATTCGTGTGCTACCAACTGAAACATTACCGCGTGTACTCAGTGAACCCGTGTGCTACCACATGAAACACTACCAAGAATATTCAGTCAAGCCGTGCGCAATCAATTGAGACATATCCGAGTGTATTTTGTGAAACCTTGTGCAATCACTTAAAACATTACCGAGTGTATTCAGTGAACCAGTATGCTAACATCTGAAACATTGCCGAGTGTATTCAGTGCACCCGTGTGTAACCATCTGAAACATTACTGAATGTATTCAGTGTACCCGTGTGCTACCACCTGAAACATTACTGTGTGTATTCAGTGAATCTGTATGAAAACAACCTGAAACATTATCGAGTGTATTCAGTGAACCCGTGTTCTACCACCTGAAACATTACTGTGTGTATTCAGTGAATCTGTGTGAAACCAGCTGAAACATTATCGAGTGTATTCAGTGAACCTGTGGGCGGTCACTTGAAACATTGCCGAGTGTATTCAGTGAACACGTCTGCTACTACCTGAAACATTGCCGAGTGTATTCAGTGAACCCGTGTGTAGCCACCTGAAACATTACTGAGTGTATTCAGTGAACCCGTGTGCTACCACATGAAACATTACTGTGTGTATTCAGTGAATCTGTGTGAAACCAGCTGAAACATTACAAAGAGTATCAGGGAACCCATGTGCAACCAGCTGAAACATTACCGAGTGTATTCACTGAACCCGTGTGTAGGCAAATGAAACATTCTCTAGTGTATCCAGTGAACCCGTGTTCAACCATCTGAAACATGGCCGAAAATTTCCAGTGAACCCGAGTGAAGTCGGGAATTTTGGGAGCTTCTACCCGGCTGGTCTGTATGGCTGTGGCTGTGGTCTGGACAGATGGCTGTCCCCCAATGCGGCCTCTTGGCCTTGACTTCTTAGCCAATACTGTCTGCTTCTTTTTAAGCATCTCTTGAGATATAGCGGAGAGGCGGGACTCAAACATCGACTCCATCATCCCTTTCTCCTGGTTGAAGTGCTGTTCCAACATGTTCATAGAGAACGCAGAAGTAGATTCATTTGCCGGAGTAGGTAGAGACACTGTGATAGGGTCAGTGGCTAGGTCTATAGCCGCAATGAGTTGACTGACTAACGGTCACGCAATACCATAAGCTTACTGGGACCCTCGGCCGTGGTTCACTGAATCAATGGTACTTGTATAGGATCAGGCAAATGTTCTTAGGATCTGATTGATAAACCGACTAGCTTCGTCGCGTTTGCGCTTGTACTAGTCCGGATTGTAGTGCTAGCTCACTGAGATACCATGCCGCAGTTTGACATGAATACCCCATTCAGACACAGTATACTGCCCCCCGAGCCGACCAGTCCTTATTTTAGCCTCTTAATGTCGGACGCCAGACAGGATAACAACAAGTACGCGGCCAGGGATCGAACCCCGGACCTTCGCAGGGATACGCGGAAATAACTTAAGTTTTTCAAAATTGTAAGGGATAGTAGCTTCAAGTAATATTTGTATGAGGAGATTGAACGAATTACATTACAACCGGTAGTGAAGTGTGACTGTAAATGCTATGGCTACCGACGATCTTGTTAAGAGGTATGACAGGAAATTTCAAAATTGACGTTTTTGGATCAGTGGTGCATACTACCCCTACGATTTGTCAAACATTCATTCACTCGACAAGGCATATCGCGTATGAGTATCCAAATGCCGACTTGAGGGAGTCCGGCCCACTGCTCTAGCCCCTAGACGCTCCGCGCCTTGCAGACACCGCACCGCTAGTTCATACACAAACATTACTTGGTATTAACATTTATAGTTCTGAATCATGATCTCCTACTTTTCTAAAGAGTATATATACCGACTTGCCCAGTATCAAGAATTCCCTCACTAAATACACCACTACATACCTCACTCGTAATAAGTCCAATGATTTTGTTCTCTCATTTCATTTCAATGAACAAATTTCTCATTCAAGAAAGAATGTCCAAAGTGATATGTTTCTATGAAATGATGGATGCATTACATACAAAAGTATTGAAACTCTGTTATCACATAGTTGTAGTTGTAGCCCTATTAAATAAAAATAATTCCTGCTAATGTTTGTGAATGAATACATTTGAGGTTTGTATCGTATGGGACTTAAGTTAACTTACACAAAACAGGAAGCCATGAACTGATATCTCCCACATAGTGGAGGGCAGAACCATCTGAAATGACCATGGGAACGTCATACGTTATATTCACACATCCTTGCAAACACATGCAGTTTAGACATTTAAGTATGATAAAGGTGCAGCATATCCCATTCCGTACCTCAGACAAAAGATGTCAAGACAACATTGCCCTCGTACACACTGTGTACAATACAGAGGACCATTCTTTATCAATATTAGAAACCGACGATTTGATGTTCTGAAAAAACATTATTGCAAGGTTCATATCCGGAAATAATAAAATATATCTGGTTTTGTAGATGCACCTGAACCCCTTCCCTCCCGAATCTCAAATGGTCGGTCCCTTATGTAATTATATAGCATTTTTAGCATTTATAGAGGTATGGTACCAAAGCACCGGCAATTAATTACTATGGCTGTGCTAACATCATAAGAAATTGTTTCTGTATTTTAGTATTCAAATGCATTGTCAACTTTTACAAAATATTCTCCAATGATCTCCTAAGAATATACCAACCTTGCTTCACAGAGAGAATACTGTCTTGATAATAGGTCATGGCTGCCTTGTCGTCTGCAATCATCTGTATGATCAAGGAAAGTTACATGTAGTTTATCATAAGCATTATAACATCCTTAGAAACTATGGTAACAGGCCTTACAGGGTGTAACAGGCCTTACAGGGTGTAACAGGCCTTGCAGGATGTAATAGGCCTTGTAGGATGTAACAGGCCTTACAGGGTGTAACAGGCCTTACAGCTAGGGTGTAACAGGCCTTACAGGGTGTAACAGGCCTTACAGGATGTAACAGGCCTTACAGGGTGTAACAGGCCTTACAGGATGTAACAGGCCTTGCAGGATGTAATATGCCTTACAGGGTGTAACAGGCCTTACAGCTAGGGTGTAACAGGCCTTACAGGGTGTAACAGGCCTTACAGGATGTAACAGGCCTTACAGGGTGTAACAGGCCTTACAGGATGTAACGGGCCTTGCAGGATGTAATATGCCTTACATGATGTAACAGAATTTGCAAGATGTAACCGGCCTTACAGGATGTAACAGGCCTTACAGGGTGTAACAGGCCTTACAGGGTGTAACAGGCCTTACAGGGTGTAACAGGCCTTACAGGGTGTAACAGGCCTTACAGGATGTAACAGGCCTTACAGGGTGTAACAGGCCTTACAGGATGTAACAGGCCTTGCAGGATGTAATATGCCTTACATGATGTAACAGGCTTTGCAAGATGTAACAGGCCTTACAGGGTGTAACAGGCCTTAAAGGAAGTAACAGGCCTTACAGGATGTAACAGGCCTTACAGGATGTAACAGGCCTTAAAGTACAAGGTTGCCCATAAAGGATAGGGAAGTCATGAGTAATAACTTTCTGATATTTGCACATGTGCATTTAACCGATGCCGATTTTCGGTTGAAGCTAGATGACATCACAGTAGTTCAACCATTTGAGCTAACAAAACCTGAAAATGACACTTTAATTCTTAGTGGTGCTTTGCTCAAATTCACTGTAGAAAGGTAGCCATAATCAGAATGCCCCACAAGTCATCACAGAGGAAATTATATAGAATGAAATAATAACGTGATGAAATACGTTAAATAAACGTGAGATACTGTCCATAAACGTATTGATAATATCAATGACATATTTGCCAACTTTGCATTCAGCGCTGCTCGCCATCGACACTAGCCCTCACCATGCTGGCGAGAAATGAGGCAGAGCCTCCAGCTTTACCTGTATGATGAAACGTAAAGGGTACGATGTGACTATTGGCCACTGAGATAAAGTTTTGGATTCTGAGCAGCATCTTAATGAAGACAGGTTTTACATAAGTCTATGATAAATTTGTAGCACCAACCCCCAAAATGACATTTTGACATAAATATAGAAAGTGTTGTTGGAACTTTAATTCTCCCCGAAGATAAACATGCAGATCTGAAAGAATGTTTGGGTCAATTTGAAAAGTTGAAGAAAGTTAAAAAGTTACAACTACATCAGTTGCTAGGAAAACGTCACGTGCGGTTCATGGACGTTTATGAGGCGTCTTATTGTCTTAAATTAAGCGGAAAGTTGTTTACTCTTAATGCGTTGTCGAGGTGTAAACAGTTTAATGGAACTACTTTTGCTCTTAAAGGTAAAGTACTTCCCTATCAGGGATGTGCAGCTGATGCATGCGAGGAACGGGGCGGCAGCGCTTGGTGACGATCGGTGTTATGTAAAGTGGAAGAGTCCACCCCCTGCGATTAGCGATCAGAAAATCAATATTAAAGAATTGATAACTTTGTTTCCGGCAGTCCAAAGATTCATTGGGACCGAAACTTAGCGGTCCTGAAATTTATACAGGAAGTGACTGTTTAAACTTACAGCAAGACAAATACCAGGTGTTGTGTGTGACAGGTTATCTGGATAACATGATCGACACAACATGGTGTGGCTTGATTACTGTAACATTGACTCAATGTTATGCCACATGATAGTTAAATCATGTTTTACAGGATCAGTGGCAGCTGACCTCAAACATTTAGATTCTGTCAACAATCCGCTTGTCAAACGAGAACCAAGAAGATGTATACGTCAAAGTTAAAGTGCTACCGGTGATTTTTCTTTTATTATGAATTATCTCCCCTGCCTGCATCTACACTTACTGTGTTGAGATATGCTACGTTTCTTGCAAGATCTTTGAATTTCAAATAAAATCTGTGTCTCAGCTCCAACATTAAACCAGCTTTGGAAATATAGGAACCACAAAAGAGTGAATTATGAGTACAAAGTGAGGGCACAGTTAAAACAATTTTAGTCTGGTAACCAGAGGAACAAACGATTTTGCACACAAACAACATTTTTTCTAAAGATAAAAGGACACAAGTGATCATGTGATGATCTCCTTCAGGGTTAAGTAAGAAATGGTTATATCAATTGAGCATAACTTATACAGTTCTTTAACCAGAATTAAAGTATAGCAAATAGTCATTTTTAACATTGTAATTATCACTCTTACCTAATTATTTGATCATTTAATTGCTTGAATTGCACAAACTAATTACTCGCCAAGCAGCTCAACATTCCATAATCGGATGTTTAACAAATACTTACATTTTCAAGCATCGCGTACAAAGGTGTTCTGCTGAGTCTTCCCTGTTGAAACTGTCTTATTTGAAGGACGTGGTTTTTCTGTGTTTGTCTTCGTTGACTGTCAGTATCTAGATGCAATGTGTAAAAGTCAGTTTATGAGTTAGAGGACATCATGATGATCCACGTGGTAATCAAACCTAGAACTGACAAACAGCTGGTTGATAGTGTGACAACGAATCTTTGCATCGGAATATGATGTCCTCAATATGTACAACTGAAAATGGGGATTGCAAGCGACAAAACCCTTTCCATTACCATAATAGTTATTTTTATCCATTGTAAGATTTTGAAAGATGTTATTAGCATGTAATCATGAATGACTATCAAGTTCTGGTGATGCCAGGTGTTCGCAAAAAGGTGAACTATCTTCCTTTCTTTTGTACATAAGGGGACACAATTGTGTGCGCATCATAGAACTAGACTAGCTTATTATCCCTACCAGTACTGTCTAATATTGATATCGGGAAAATTATTACATACACACATTTACACATTTGCCCCTGATATGACATCGTCGTTCTTAACTCGTACAGTTAACTAACAGTTAAACCTAATATTTTACAACAACGAATAATTAATAGGTACACTAATTAGCTTTTGCATAAAGTGAACTTAAAACATATGAAAATGTGATATCTGAACACGGAAAGGTGCCAACCCATTACACCCAACACTGAAGTTGTTACATTCACCTGGGGAGTCACGTGGTGTCTGAGAAGAATCTCCGAACATTAGATGGTCCTGGCATTGATAGTCAGTCTGTAAAGGCAACACAGTTAGATGAATCAGATCAACCTTAATCCCTATGGTATCAGGTTATAAGAGTGTATAACAGTTCAATACTCCTAGGATCCTTAATTAATTGACAGTGACTCTAAGACAACTTTCTACCGATGAACGTTATTGATCTGATATTCGTTTGTTGACACTAACATAACACTTACAGTATCAAATCGTGGCATGCTCCGGTCCACGTAGCTTAATGTGTTCTGCCACTCAGCTGAGGAAGGAAAAGAAAGTTTACATATCATCATCTTAATCGTACCTGTATGTAGATGACTTCCGACCTGTACATAGAGGACTTCCTACCTGTATATAGAGAACTCCCTACCTGTATACAGAGGACTTCCTACCTGTATATGGAGGACTTCCTACCTGTATATAGAGGACCCCCTACCTGTATACAGAGAACTCCCTACCTGTATACAGAGGAAGTCCTACCTGTATATGGAGGACTTCCTACCTGTATACAGAGGACTTCCTACCTGTATATAAAGCACTTCCTACCTGTATATAGAGAACTCCCTACCTGTATACAGAGGACTTCCTACCTGTATATAGAGCACGTCCTACCTGTACATAGAGGACTTCCTACCTGTATACAGAGAACTCCCTACCTGTATACAGAGGAAGTCCTACCTGTATATGGAGGACTTCCTACCTGTATACAGAGGACTTCCTACCTGTATATAAAGCACTTCCTACCTGTATATAGAGGACTCCCCACCTGTATGTAGAATACTCCCTACCTGTATATAGAGGACTTCCTACCTGTATATAGAGGACTTCCTACCTGTATATAGATGACTCCCTACCTGTATATAGAGGACTCCCTACCTGTATATAGAGGACTTCCTACCTGTATATAGAGGAATCCCTACCTGTATATAGAGGACTCCCTACCTGTATATAGAGGACTTCCTACCTGTATGCAGAGTACTCCCTTACTGTATATAGAGGACTCCCTACCTGTATATAGAGGACTCCCTACCTCTATATAGAGGACTCACTACCTGTATATAGAGGACTCGATATCTGTATATAGCGGACTTCCTACCTGTATATAGAGAACTTCCTACCTGTATATAGAGGACTTCCTACCTGTATATAGAGGACTCCCTACTTGTATGTAGAAGACTCCCTACCTGTATACAGAGGACTTCCTACCTGTATATAGAGGACTTCCTACCTGTATATAGAGGACTCCCTACCTGTATGTAGAAGACTCCCTATCTGTATATAGACGACTCCCTAAATGTATATAGAGGACGCCCTACCTGTATATAGAGGACTCCCTACCTGTATATAGAGGACTCCCTACGTGTATATAGACGACTCCCTACCTGTATATAGAGGACTCCTTACCTCTATATAGAGGACTCACTACCTGTATATAGAGGATTCGATATCTGTATATAGCGGACTTCCTACCTGTATATAGAGGACTCCCTACCTCTATATAGAGGACTCACTACCTGTATATAGAGGACTCGATATCTGTATATAGCGGACTTCCTACCTGTATGTAGAAGACTGCCTACCTGTATATAGAGGACTCAGCTGCAGCATTACTTTGTCCTTCTCCTGAAACAAACCAAATATCTCAGCTTTTCCTGATTCACGTGCGTGCATGCGTGCGTCTGTGTATACATTAGTATTCATGTGAGCATGTGTGTGCGTGCGTTGAAGGACACGAGGAGCAGGGAGATGGGCACGAGGTTGCACCATTAGCTTAAGGTGCAATACAACAAATTTAATGTTGACTTGGCCATTCCTCTATCATTAACCCCGCCGTGATGTTGCTGGACTTTTGCTAAAAGCGGCTGAAAACCATACTCACTCACTCACTCACTCACTCACTCATTTAACTGACATTGTGTGATATAATTGATTCAATGCTCTAAACAGCGTTGATCCAAAAGCCTCTACCCATTCACTTTATTTTATATAGCATAGTATACTTAATTCTAATCTTTTTTTATAAAAGAAATAATGTCCAAGCTAACATGTTTTAAATACATTTTCATTATTATTCGTCCTTACCCACAGTGCTTATCTCGAGTCATAGAGGGGCGGTCGGGTAGCCTAGTGGTTAAAGCGTTCGCTTGTCATGCCGAAGACGTGGGTTCGATTCCCGACATGGGTACATTGTGTGAAGCCAATTTCTGGTGTCCCCCGCCGTGATATTGCTTGAATATTGATAAAAGCGGCGTAAAACCATACGCATTCACTCACTCGAGTCATAGTGGGTATCTTGTAGTGATTTTGTTATAAATAGCGATGAATATATGTGAGTTGTTCTGCGACCACAGATTGTCATTTTGTTTTTGAGTAACCATGATTAACATACTTTATCATCATAAAAAAGGGTTTAACCGTCTCACGTTTGTGCAAAAAAATCCCTTTGTGTTTCATCTGCTCAAATGTACATTAATCATAACTATAGTCCTCGCCTCGCCACAAGATAGCTGCATGTGTCCTGATAGTTATGGAGTGAGAACAAGCCAAGGAAACCACCACCACCCCGGATCCGGCGCCCATGACACAACAAGTATGTAAATGTTTTGCAACACGTTCCTTGATTTGACTGTCATTTTGTAAGCACGTTAAGGATGCTGATGATTTCTGTACCATAATCAGGAGATAAACATACTGTGTTTTCAATGTAGAGCTAGGTTACCTGTAGATTTAACAGCGCTATATTGAATTTGGAACCGAACGCACAGCTTGAGGTTTCAAATGTTCAACAAAATATGGCGTTGTATGTGCACAAATAGTTTGTTTACACCGTAATAGTTCACTCGAACATATGACAGGCATTGAAAGCATAAAAGCACGGCAACTTGCGAAGCTAATATGAGGTGAGCATCCCTAAAGAAAACTTAGCAAGCTGCGTGTCACCATTATGACGTCATATCGGAATTAGTGACGCAAAAGATATGACGTCACAGTCGTATATAAAAAAGCGCCAAATTCCAGGCTCTCTGTGTCTCCAAAACGTAGATACATTCTTTTTATAGATTTATATCGTGTTTTCTGCACAAAATGTATTGCCACAAATACTTTGAATATTGGAGTAACCGCAACTTTGCATTTTGTCACCTATAATTGCAGATATTATTAATTAAAAATGTCTACCGATAATGACTGAAAAAAGTACTATTCTATTCACATCAATCCCCATAAAACCAGCTGTTTCAATCAGAGGGGGTTTACTGTGATTTAATAGCCTCTGATTGGCCAATTATAATCGAGCAATTTTACAAATTCATGGTAGAATGTTAAATATGTGTTACCTTTTCCACGATATCCAAGTCTTCTGTAAGCTTTTCTATATCATCAAAACCTGCAAGAAAAACATTGTTTTGAAATGGACAAGAACGAAACCCTCACTACCACTGATGAAGATAAAATATATAATAGTCACTATTATACTCAAACAACATCCATTATATAATAATAACACATTCTAACAGCGGCGGCGTCTGGCGTCATTATCCATGATCGGAGGCCTCGTGGCGAGTTGGTGGTTGTCGAAATGGGAGTCAACAACTGCTTCCAGGACATCTGGCATGGTCGGTGCTGATTACTTGTGAAGTTGCGTTGTGTGGTGATCAAGTCCAGCTTTCAGTCGTGTGAGATACACCCCTAAATGATCCCCGAGGCTCTCTTTTCCGACAGGTTCTCTGTTTCTAAGCTCGTCGTGTAAAACACCATGTCAAACGAAACCTCTGATGGTCACATAATGGCGTTTGATGAATCTCCTGAACGCCATTCCTGCCGCTCTGAAGCGGTTCCTCGAGCTTCTGGTGGAGGTTCTGGGTAGCCAATGTCGCTTCAGGACGGGACTAGTAGGCAATGAATGTCGTCGTACTAATCAAAGCAGTGGCCTGTGTCCACAGCAGATCGCCATGATCGTTAAAGGTCTTTCACAGCATTGATTGACCTTATATTCTCACCAATCGGCTGATTATTGTGTAACGGTAGCTCAATATTTTTAAAAGACTACCCTGTAGAACGCATTCGTATTGATTTTAAATCTATTACCGATATTGACTATTCTTTTAGATTTGTCTCGTTATAACCTCCGTGGAGGTTTTACCTTTTCCCTTGTAACATCGGGTTTGAGATTTTACTTTTTCCCAGCAAGACCTGGTAAGTTTAGTTGCAGATATAGCTTGGACTCAGGGTCTCAAACGTTCAATGTTCTATAATCAGACACCAGAATAAAAACGGTTTGGTTATGGATGATGGAATCTATCCCACAACCTCCTGATCATTAATCAGGCACTCTATCCATTAGACCACAGAACCAGATAAAGAGATGTGGTACATTGGAAGGTACCACGTGTAGCGTGTATTTCCTGAACATGTGTATTTTACGAGCGTGTTTTTTCAGCCTATGCTAACCCACTTTTATAAATGACTTTAAACAAATATTAATAAATGTTGTTTAAACGGTCTTTGTGCTATTCCCTCCTCTCGAGTTTTACATTTTCAACTTAAACCTCGGAGACGTGTTTTCTCCTGTACCTAAACATTGCAAGATAGCAGATTTAAATACCTAAATTTGATTTCTGAAACAAACTGCATTTTGGAGAATGCACATATAACACGCTGAAGTTCTTATGTCACCGTCAAACATGAACTGTCACATTCTTACGACTAAACATCATTCTTTCAATAATCATTATAATATTGTCATTACTTACTCTCCTGACTTTCCTCCAAATCCTTCAGCGAATGAACAGAAGCCGGATCCTTCAATGATGTAACAGAAGCCGGATCCTTCAGTGATGTCTCAGATGTCCATTCCGTCAGTGATGTTTCGGATGGCGAGTCCTTCAGTGATGTCTCAGATGTCCATTCCGTCGGTGATGTTTCGGATGGCGAGTCCTTCAGTGATGTCTCAGATGTCGATTCCGTCAGTGATGTTTCGGATGGCGAGTCCTTCATTGTTTTATCTTTTGCCGAGTCCAACAGAGATGCATGTGCAATGTTGTCCATCTTGGACTGAAAAAGGACAACAGTTACATATGTAAATACGTCCTGCGCAATTAACTCTACTACGGTAAGATACTGTCAACCCTTAAAAAATGTACATGAAGGTAAATTATCTTGTTTACACTTGTATGGTGTACATCCTCCAGTGCTATAATTGTTTGCTGTTTATATCTTTTATATTGTGCCACAAGTATCAACTGCAGACGGTTAAACTTAACCTATACCATATGAATTACTGCGAGGTACAAACTGTGAAGTGTAACACCAACATTCCCAGTGGAATTGGATCGCGGTGATCCCCCACTTGTGATCCATACTCTTATTTCAAATTCGACTTGCTAGGGAATACTTTACGCTGATGGTAAACACACGAGATACCGAGCAATTGTCAGCTGCAGAAAATAAATTTCGTCTTATATTTTAACTTAAAATATTGTGGTCTCAAAGAATAAGTTGATTATGTTACTTATAAAAACAATGTTTGATGTAAAATATGTGCCAGAAGCATTTCTGGACAAACTTCTATCCATACCCCAGCTATATGTATTGCTAAATTGGCTATGGCAGATTATCAGGCTTTGTATTCATGATGGTTAAAAGATCTATAATTGTACATTGCCAACACATCGCACTTGATGTAAACGATGATGTTGGTTTGAGAATAAATAAATTTCTTTTTCACCTTCGAAAGATATGCGCCTATTACGAATGTACCCACTGGCTCCTCGTGTTACAGCAGCTGAGACATACTTAACCACTGATACACTTGCTCCATAGAGGTTAACTGAATATAAAGTATCATTTTAAAGTTAAAGAGATTTCTGGTGATGTGATTGCTTTAATTACTGCCCACATGACCCGTTCATGGTTAAAATTTAAGTATGAATTTCACCTTTCGACGTTTACACGATACGATTATGGACCGGAACTAGTTTCCAGGAGGAATCCCCGATTGGAACAATTGTGTTGTCCCCCCTGCCTTCCAAGATGAGGATCGGCAATATCGGACAATAAACTAACATTTCTTTTCACACAATGTTTCACATGAACGTTTATTTACATATTTGCATTACAGTAAATAAATATCCCCTAGCATAACGTCAATGTACTCCCTACCTGAGACCGTTTCAAGCCTCCCCCTCCCCCTCATCAGTCCTGGTGGCATGTTTGTCACACAATTTTGTCACTATCGTTTGTCCCGACCACGGGCATCAATACAGGCTCTTGCTTTAAATCGAAATCGAGTGGAGTACGTTAAACGTCGAATGACTTGAGGCGGAATGCGGCGCCATCGCCATACTTGTGCATGCAATTAACCTTGACTAGTTATCACAGGAACCTGTCTTGATCTACGTTTAGGTCCCAAATGATCCCACACATGTTCAATTGGAGACATGTCATGGGATCCGGCTGGTCATGGTAAAACGTTCACATTGTTGGCACTGAGAAAGTTCATGGTGATTCGTGCTGTGTGGTCGGGTGTTGTCTCGCTGGAATATGGTCCGAGGGTTTAATTGCAGATAAGGGTGAACAACTGACCAAATTACCTCATCCACGCAGCCCTGTGCGGTGAGATTGGCGTTGAAAACTACGAGATCTGTCTGCTGTTGCCCACAGTTACCGCCCTAAAGCTCCTCCGAATGACTCGGCCTCGTGAATGCAACAACGTGCCGTTCGCTCTCCCCGTCCACGGTGAATACGAACTCTACCATCAGGACTGAAGAGCTGGAACTGAGAACCAATACGTTCCGAGTTTCTGCTTTACCATTGGATGACGGTCCGTTCCCATCTCAGTCTTTGACCTCGATGTTGATATTCCACGGTAAAGTCTGAAGGCACGAATACCATGTTGTAGTAGTCTCCTGGATACAGTTCTTCGACTGACAGGAAGTCCAAGGTTAGTTGCTGATGATGGCATCACTGTGACGTGTTCCTTGTATGTAAGACACGTAGATACCGGTCTTCGTTGTGGGTCTACCACTCCTGGGCCTGCCCACGGTATGGTCAGTTTGCCACTAACGTGTCATCAACCTGCTGATTCTTAGTGCGGGAAGAACTGAAAAACCTTGACACGTGGTTATGTGTAACTCCCATTTATATCATAACTATTGCCCTTTCGCTCTCTTCTTTCGATAGCTTTGGCATGGTAGCTGTGTTTGTTAGAGCAGCTACACTGTTTCTATAACCTAAATGTCTAAATAACTTCGTGTTGCACGTGCATCAAACTTTCACAGTTAACGTTATTTTGCAGTTTAATACAGTTCAAGGTGCTGCTGCATATTCGTTGCGTGCAGCTCCATGGCCCTTTTGTTAATGCACCGAGTCCGTTTTTTCTGAATCGTACGTGTTTCCCGACTAAAGGTTTTCATGTCCTTGTGATCATTTAGAGTATATTTGGGTAGCTTATATGTGTAGTTTTGGTCACTTGCATGCAACAGTTATGCCACACAATAATAAGATTATATTTTTAAAACTTAAATTACCACACAGATTTGTCAACTAGTTTTTAGGAAGAGGACTAATTTGAAACACCAGAAGTCGAGCCAATATTTGTTTGTTTAACTACGATATATGAATGAATATGTCGCGTGTTATCAAAAGCGTGTTATCATAATAAGTAACGTTATAAAACTGGATGTTATGACCTACATTAGGCCTATCTGGATAATATTGTACCTGCGATAAACGAAAAGTCCAATACACATATTCTAACACAATTTAAATTATTGATTTCCTTTTGGTTCACATAATTTCACACACAAACAGTTACTGAGTTTTATCATTAGATCCACATGTGTTCCGTGTATTTTTTGTTCGGTGGGATTGGATACACTTAGCGCACAGTCTGGCATCACTTCCCGTTTTCTACACACCAATCTTTTTTCTGCTTCTACAAGTCTTCAAGTCAAAGTAACTAGGACATCTCCAAACACTGCGGAATCGACGAATTTCTGCAACTTGGTGGGGCACTATTCTCTAACCACGATTGCCTGTGCTGTGCCACGCGTGGTTGACAGAAGCAATGGGAACACAAATTTCGCCTTCATCTGGTTCCACAATGAAATCTGGCTGTGACACTGATCCACTAATCCCAAGAATCGGCACTGAATTTGTCAAAGTTTCTGTTGCACTTGCAAGGGCGGGATGAGAGGCGCCATCTTGTTGACAGCCGGAATGATGTTATCTTGAATTTGAAGTCATCAATGCCATAATGGAAATGACCAAAGGCTCCCCTGATCATATCGAAAAGCTCTTCCGTCAAATTAAGCGTCACACGAAAATGTATTTTTGTTACTCATATTGAAGACAAGCGAACTTGCAGAGTATTTGACAGTAAGCAGTAAACCAACGTGGTTCATGGGAGATCGCATTGTCGGAAAAGGGGCAAAGAAAAACGTTTTAGAAAGTAACGAGAAGAAATCCGCAGTGCAATTCACAAATACCATGGACACCACATCATGTTTTTACAAGAGAGGAGTGAGTTGGGTTTAACGCCGCTTTTAACAATATTCCAGTTATATCTCGGAGTGTCAGCTTAATGTGGGAGGTGCCCTAAGTGACGCAGGTCTCAGACGTTTACAACTTCGATGAAACCCACGAGCACGGGTATGGTGCTGACAAACCTAGAAACATAATCAGGGCGAACCGGGATTCGAACCCACAATCATAGGTTTCTGGCGTGCCCAAGGGACGCAACTCTGCACAGCGAATCGCGGCGTCTTCGACGACTGGGCCACCCATGAGGAGGATGCGTGTAGCTAGTGACCTGAAAAATCTTGTTGAAAATTTATCTTTCTTCAGCTGTTTATTAAAAGTTCGTTTCCGAAGCAAAGCGACTGGTCTTAAATTAATTTATAGACGAGTACCAAGTGTTTTAAATTTTGTAAACAAATGTGAAATTATTATGTAAGATTTAGATTTTATTTCGTCTCTCTTGTTAGTTGAGGTTGGAGATGAGAAACACATACAAAAATTATGGATGGCTTCTGCAAATGATAGTTGGCATGCCACAAAGGAATCAACAGGGAATAAGAATCTGGGTCACGGAGTGACTTCGGCACAAGGAGCTTTCGGACAAGTGTGACTCTGCCAAAACACATAGCTACTGGGCAATGAAAACATGTGACGGAAACAACAACCTACTTTCATCGCTTGGAAATATGTTTGACCATTACAAGGGCTGCAAAATATGCTCATGTCGAAGTAGTTACCAGAGAGGATGATCCGTGTAGGCAGCGACCTGAATAATCTTGATGAAATAATGTTCACACACATGACATAATTAGTGTGAACAAATATTTAACAAGTGTGTTCAGTGGCCCGCTCCCGTCTTCGAGTATAACTTTACACCTGTTACGTCTCTCACAAATTAAAACACCAGCTACGCACCACGACCGCTTGGCGCTCACGGGGCCGAGAGATGTGTATGTAATAGATTTAGTCCAACTGTAGTAGAGGCATAAACACATATAACATATAATACACATAACAATCATCTGGATGTAGAATACGATAACCACGAGGGCTTCCAACAGTTAAAACAACTTAAGTGTTCGGTGAACTTCAACTGTTTCTGTTTATAGTCTCATCGGAATAACACGTTCGGAGAATAAGTCATTGTAGCCCTTATGACACAATCTTTTCTTATAAAACAGAAATACAGACATGATCTTGACAAGGTATACCCAGTGTGGTCATTAAAACGTAATTGCCGTGACCTTATGGTTCTATGCATGGCCTTTGACTACGACGACTGATGCGCGAGTATGCAAAGAACCCTTTGAAGAGAAGTACAATGTAGGGAAAATACGGGATTCGAGACATTATGGTTACTTGTCGCGTTTTCTGACTTTTTCCATTTTTGACTGCTTACCAACGATCGAGATCGCGCGACCGGGACCATATTTTTTACATTATTCAATAATGTGCAAACACATTTACTGGATTTGATGACGTAAAACACAAATGCGAACAATGTGACATTGTAAAGTTCCACAGAACTGACCTTGAATCAAAGTGAAGAAGAATTCCTAACATACCTGTTTTGTCTTTTGTTCTTGATGCTTCACCTTCTTCCGGAATCCATCCACTGCAAGGACAAACAGTCAAATATTACTGATATGAGAAGCTCTAGCCTGAAATGATATGCAACTGTAAGAATAGAATAGACTCCGCTCATATACTTCAACATTTCATACCTTTTTTTCTAACCTTTGCCACAGCCTTGACAAAGAACCTCTTTGGCTTTTCTTCAATGAACTGCTTTGCAGGTTCAGATGCTGAAAAGTATGAAAACATGGGCGTTGTAACTAGAAACAATATATATATATATATATATATATATATATATATATATATATATATATATATATATATAAAGACAGGGTCATTGTATGTGTTACACTGACAATAGTTACAGAAACATTTCGATCGTCTCCTGTGGTCTATGTTGACGAATGTCATACATACTATAAATGAATATGTGACATAAGTTATACTTAATCCGGATGAAATACTGTCAATACAATACCAATAGGTAGTCACTGACTGATACATACACATTTTAGTTCACACGCTTTGATTCTATATTTTGATTGTGGAGGGGTAATTAGCAACGCGTGTTGATACCAGCGCCTTGAAGGAGCTTTTCGGCAGGTTCAGTAGCTTAAAAGTAGGAAAGTAGTGACACTTTTTGAACAATATGGCTAAAAAGACACAAATAAAATAAGACACGCTAATTGCATTTATGTCGTTGTTGTTTTATGCCACAATCACCAGTATGTCAGTTATACCACAGCCGATTGTAGATAATCGAGTCTGGGCGAGATATACCAGTGGTTGATATTATGAACAATATCCAATGCCAATGAAGTACATGTATGATGACATAAAATAAACCGAGTCACCGAACCTGACACAACGATTGACTCAGTTGCCACATATGACAAGTACCAGAGGCTTAGGTCTTCCTCTAACCTGTGTCCTGGTGCCATTCAAAGAATGATAATACATTTTGGATCTTTTGAGGTAATCGATGATTGTAAAAAGGTGTTCTCATTACATCCAAATGAACAGACCCATCCCTACCTTTGCCTAGATGCATCAAATGTGTTTCAGAAAACAGAAAATCCCCTGGCTACATTAACAAGAACGTTTTCACGCACTTCAAGCTGAATAACTTCACTCCCGGGTTTGGAGAAGCACATTACATGCAAGACATATTTGAAGTCCCATAACTTCAGCTACTTTAAGGATATATACACTTTCAGTTTAATGACCTTGAACCTCATTTTCAGCCAATCACATACTAGATTATTTCTTTTTGAAAATATGGGTCCATGCTCTGACAAGCAAGAATGACCTAAAATGTGACCTTGATGGTATATGTAGGTCCGACCCCAAGGATGACATTTATCATCTTTCATTGACATCATATACAGTGTTATCGTCAAAACAAACTTTACTTCAAGCTGTGACCTCGTCATTGACCCTGACATGACCCATGGTAATGAAAGAAACACATGATATAATACCCCCGGGATGTCCAAGCACTGCGTGGTCTCAATAATAAAGTGACCCTGCGCCATGGACATATTCAGAGAAGGATCCAACACAATGATTTACATACCCTTTGCAAATGATATTGCTAGGTCTTGGAGATAGAAAAGCTGGGTTTTATCCTCAATGACCGCCTGTGGAAACAGATAAGGTTGATATTAACAGATGTTCTTGTATCATGTCCACTGTATTATATATAAAGGGTGAGTATGCTTCTTTTAACAACATGATGGTATAATGATATCCTTATATTTAATGTAATCATCTAACCGATCTTAAAAGTTGGAAAAGGTCCTTCTGGTTTTCAATTCCGTCCTTGAGCTGCATCATCTGTGTTCGACGAACATCGGTCGACCGGTCACAATTGTCATCCTCTGTAACACCGTCATAATAGAACTGAACAGGATCCAGCAAACATTACATAACCTGCCTTACCATTATCACTCACTACGAAAAATAATGCATATCAATGAGACACCACGACGCTGGATACAATGATGTGAATATGGTATGCATACCTAATGATAATCCCTTTTTTAATGGCTCAGCAATCATGCTCGATCTGAGAATGTTGGACTGAAAATAAAAATGTCAATGTTCCAAGTAAAGTTGCCATTATTTGCTGAAATATACATTTATTCGTTAAACATTGACTAAACAGCAGATTGTTAACAAGATTTTCACTGCCCACGATGCACTTTGGAAAGGGGAAAAGTGAACTTTACCTTTTCAACTACTATATAATTGTATCTTTGTGCCAATAATATGAAGTTTTATTCTAAGACAGTTTATCATCGCCTTGAGTTTTGGTTAATATAAGCTCAACTATGTAGTTCAATATTGTATCAAGAATAATACCTACACATTACAATTTTCTCAATTGCGTTCGTATAGTAAGTTTGTGTTTAGAACAAATTGATTGTAGAAATTCATCAAAATAAATGTGAATACATCATCACAACTACACGTGTCCCAAATCCATTATGCTCATCCCAAATGGGTGTTGTTTGTTTCCGTTCAACAGATTACCAAAAAGATAGTCGTAATCAGATATATCGATAGCTTGTTCTCGTGCAGCAGGGGAGCTACAGTAAAACATGAGGAAGGGTTCGGAAGAACACGTGGTCTGAGAATAACCCAGAAATACAACTTACACTTGCAACATCACATCACCATACTGGCCTGACGACTGCCGCAGAAACCACTATTCGATAAGGCGCCATTCCGAGGAGACAAGTGCAAAAATAAAACTTACGACATCAAATTCCTGTATCAAACGAAGTAACTTGAGAACATCCACTTCCCACAACCAGTACTCGATCTGCCTTTTCCACTTATCTGAACAAAAATGAATAGAGCTAAGTTGTACGCCATTTCTTTGCGCACTCACCACTAAATATAATGAAAAGACAACTTTACCAAATCATATTTCCAATGTCAGAAGCATTTTAAAAGACATACCATCGTGCAGACCAGAGAGTTGTCTCTTCATCTCGTGTACTTCCTGAAAGATAGCGTAAGACAATATAAGTTGTCCGCCAGTTTCGAGGGGACATGACTTGATGTACTCAAGCTCAACTATGGTACTTTATGTTACCCGAGCACGACCGAACAAGTCTGCAGTCTGCACCGACTCCGAAGGGCGACGGGAACATTAACTTACATACAATGTACGCCAACCCATGTCACCCTCGAGACCAGTGAACAAGTTATAATGGAGTTAGGCATGCATGTTTTTGTCCGAATCGGTAAGAATACCACAGTTAGCGATTTAACCTCTTCTTTCTTCATTAACTGAGTTAATCAAACTTAAGAGTTGTTCCCCCTAGATCTGTTTCATTCGGAAATATTGTAAATATCTTAAATCATTAAATCGAGATAAAAAATTGCGGTTGGTACGTTGCAAATGTAATGCAAAAAGGTAGGCAATTCGAACGGGGAACAAACGAAATGTGCCTCGCATGTTTCCGGAGTACATTAAAAAAAATTGAATGGGTTTCAGCATATTAACATCCGACATTCACGTGTAATGTAAGATAAGGACAGATGCACATATTGCCTTTTACCTGCATAAACATTACATAAATAACATATCTTGATGCCAATACTTTGAACTGTCCCAGATTAATATATCGATATTTGGTATGTCAGGGCACCGGAGGTCCAGTCGTCTATGGCGCCATAATTTGTTGTGCAGAGTCGCGTCCCTTGGGTACGCCAGAAACCTTTGATTGTGGGTAAGAATACCAGTTCACCCTGATTATGTCTCTAGGTTTATCAGCATCATAACCGTGCTCGTGCGTTTCACAAAAGTGGTAAACGTCTGATGCTTGTATCACTTCGGGCTTTCCTCCCACATAAAGCTGTGATATAACTAATATAAATATTGTTAAAAGGGGTGTTAAACCCTACTCACTCACTCACACACTGTTCTGTGAAGATGAAATACTAAGCACTCGATTCACAGACCTACGTTTGCAAAAGGCAAACTCATCGACTCTGTCAGGGTCTTATAAACTTACAGTCAAAACATAGAAAATTAGAGCATATCTGAATGGTATTTTTACCTTCTCTGCTGTCTGTAACCGCATCTTCAATTCTCCAACACTGGTAGGATCTTCGTTGAAATCAATGTTTTAATGGTTGTTTATTCAACATGATGAATACATAAACTAATGAGAACAAATTTAACGAATGCAAACGCTTACTTATTATGTTTATACCTCAAAATGTCATATATGACAAGAATGTGAACCTATAATTAACGGTGTCACGTTTATTAATTATATTTCCAGATAGCAAAATCTACATTTAAACACTATAATTATGAGGTGAAAAGTGACATTAAATCGTTTATGGTATATGCATACCATTGTTTATATGTAACAAATTATTCACCTGCCAGTATATGCTTAGATATTAACGTCAATAATAAGTCAGCCTAAAAATGTATTTGTCAGATTTATGTCATATTGATTGAGCTCAATTATTGTCTCCTTAACGTACCTTACTGCTCATGCATGTAAAGAGAACAACACTCGGCTAATGCATATCAATGTTTACATACACTGTCAGGAACATTGCTTCATACCAACAAAGGTATGTTGTAAAATGCAATGATTCAGTTGATAGTTGGATTGTTGAAATGTAGCTATCAATGGTTGTAACTTGGAATTAATCTTACAAAGTGTGTGTGTACATATATTTGCATATCTTACCAATAGATCGTTTGGATGTTGGAGAGAATAATTGTAATCAATCCACTTATTTTATAAACTCTTGCGGTAAAACAACTACATCTCTCATACATTATACGAATACACATACCCGTTTGAAATCGCCACACTCGACCTCGAGGCCTGCAGGGCAAAATGCGAGCATCAAGAACAATGTTCTCATACGCTGATAGATCCCACTTCCAGACATCAATCAGTGATATTGTTGATGCGTGCACTGATCTGGAAATGATAAACCTCGTCTTGACATGGAATCGAACATGAGATACATGTCACTGGCTACTGGGAAAACAAACTGTAGAACCAGGTAGATCATAAAGGTCGAACCGTTCTATTGAACCTACCTCAATCTGTTCCTCTCTTCCCTTGACCGACAGACCAGCAGAGTGTCGCCCAGTCTGCTCAGTCTCCTTGCCACCTCCAGCATCAGGACGGTGGCTTCACGTTTAGAATGAAGCATCACCTCAACGTTGTTACTGTTTATATTTTCCAACAAAAGGATGCAGTGTTCTTTCGTAAGAAATCCTAACTGACTGCCGTTTGCATCTACTTTTGTCTCAGCTAATGCTGCCCAGAATGCCATAAGTATTTGGTCATACTTGAATAAATTCATCAACAAGGATGTTTTGGAAACGAATGCTGAAGATATTACGGCAATATTTTGTAACTTTGCAAAGAACACTCCAGGATCTTTCATATCATTCATGCAAACAACTCCATGTATAACGTTAATGCTTTCATTGGTAAACCGACGTAATTTTGCAGTCACTTCTTTGGCCACTGAGGTGTTGTAACTTCGTACCACATCAGTTTCCTTGTCACAGGTTATCACAGTCAGTACAACCAGGGGCTGGTGGGGAATGGCTAGAAACATGTCACATGTTATTGGGGTTGGCCTTTCCAACACTGGAAAGTCTAATGTTATTGCTAAGGATTCTGTCAAATGCACAAAACAGGTTGTGTCACCACAGGTGGCCAGTTCTGCACCAGTGACAAGGTTGCAGCGATACAGGGATTCGTCAGTTTCCAGTAGTGAAAGTAGCATGTCCTTGATGTCCACTATGTGACCCGGCAGGTTGGTTGGAGCGATGTTGACGCCGCCTGTGGATATCAAGATCGGTTAATTCACTTCTTGATGTCAGTGTAAACAGCGAAACAAAAGTATTCTGCTTGCCACGGAAATGTGTTTGTGTTTGCCAACTGTCGTTTCAAGTTATTGGTTTACTATCTGAATTCCCTTGTATATGGCAAACCATCAGGAATCACATGATCAGTGATTAGAAACAGTTTATATAGTAGTCACAGGCAATAAAAGCTATGAGGAAGTTACCAAAATGCGATGAATTCGCAGAAATATGCAGAAACTATGCTGGTGTCACATGCACGACCATGCAACCTCCGAAAATGATGGGAAAATGTTGCCTTGAATCATGATACCACGAAACCATACATGACACTAGCGCACACTGGAAATCTCTAATCATGATAACAACAGACTGTGACGTACGATTCATCACATTAGGGGATAGACTTAGATCATCATCAAGTATAAACACAATTTAGAGCCATAGCTCATAAGGGAATTAGCTGTTAACGAAAGTTTAAACGTAGCATGACCATGGCAGCTACGTCAGAAGCACGCAACTATTTTCAGTGATGAATCGATTTTCCTTCGTATGGACTGAGTTGTATTTGTCACAGCACGACCAAATTGCTCGATGTTTAGTGATGGTGTGGGATGGCATCACCCACAGCTATACGACAGAATTTCCACAGTCTTGATTGACAACTCATGGCTTTGTTGTCATGATGTGATTTTGAGGCTGGTCATGGTACATCTCCACAAACTTTCCAACGATTCATGTGAACACTTATTTTTTACACAAGTGTATATGAATTATACTTCTCAAAGTTTGCTAAGGATCAAGTTTTGAATATGTCAAAATTTCATCCAACAAATACAGATTGAAATATCACGATACACAATGATTGGGAACATCTAAAGGGCCTCTATTTCATGATGAACGGACATGATGTCATTGCCAATAATTGCACGAGGTGCTGAAAATCCTGCGTTTGGAAGTATCGTGACATAATCGCTGTACACCATTAATAGAGAACACAACAACATTTGCTACTGAGGATTGCAACAACTGATGCAATTATGCCTCCTCAACGTCAAAGACGTTGTTTGACGCATAGTCATGCTTGTAACTGGGTCACCACAACGTCTAGTTGCAGATGTGAGCCAAAGTGTGATCAGCAGGGCATGGAATCAATGCCAGACATTTGTATCAGCTTCCCAGCGTCATTCAGGAGATCGACAACATCCCATCACACAGCGGGATATAGGTTTCTCCTGATTGTAGCAGGACTTCGTGACCACACTCTTCATCAGATGCACACAATTTACCTTTTAAAGTGGTGAACCTCAACAAATGTTGAGTGGTATATTTCTGTTATTTTAATTAATCAAATCAACTGCATTTACCTTACTTGTTTGCCCAAAGAAAAGAAACAATGTACCTTTGCTCATGTAGTGACGCTTAATGTCAGTGATATGTTCTCTTGTCTGTTGTAATTGCGGGCGCAGAAAATCTTTGCTGTTGAAATAATGGAAACCATCCTCTTTCCCGTTTGATGTATTAACCTGAAAATACGGTTACATGTAACAATCAGCAGTTCTAAAACTTACGGAAAGTCAGTGATAACTGACATTACAAGTAAATATGCTTTATGAATGTTGTACCTGTATCTTTGTATACACCGATACAAACATTCTCATCAACATTTTCGTTTTCAGGTGTATAGTGAGTGATCCTGTGATACGTTTGTCCAAAGACGTATCTACAAATAGATAACTGATAGACATGTTTTTAGTTTGGACTTACTGTTTGTATATGTGTATCACGTGACCTACTTGGGGTACCTGAAAGTCAACATTCAGTTATCAGTCAAGTCTGGTGTATTTTGTACCAGATAAATGCCGTCTTTGAATATAAAAATTGAGGGATTACCGATAATAACCTTTAAGCATTGTATGTTTGTATATGATGCATGGTCAGCAACGTTCTCATATACATGTAAATAAAAGTTTTAGCCATCACCCTAAAACAACATATGATATACAAACAATAACTTCACGGTACACCAATACCTTTCAGGAACAGCCATTGTCGACCACAAGGTTCGGACAGATAACTCCCAGTTGCATGCACCACATTCTCAAACTTGGACATGTTCCAATCTTCCACATCAAATGTCGAGATTGTTGACGAGTGAACTGACCTGCAAAAGGAACATATCTCTCAATAATTTTTTTTTCTCATTTAAACCAGAAACTGTGAGAAAGTTATCATCCCACTGTTCCTTTTCTCCACCACATTCTTGGACACATGTCTCACCGGCAGCACCAGCCACCCGCATTTCTTGTCATCTGATTTAAAAGGCCAATTACAATCGCTGGCATCAAATTGAGTACCTGTATTGGGTCTAATTTTGAGTACATTGAGTATTCTGCCCTATCTAATGCTGAATACATGTATTGTGTAGTATCTAATGTTGAGAATCTCTATTGTGTCTTATCTAATTTTGAGTACATGTATGGTATCATATCTAATGTTGAGTACCTGTATTGTGTTTATCTAATGCTGAGTACTTTTATTTAGTCATATTTAATGTTGAGTACATGTATTGTGTCTTATCTAATGTTAAGTACCTGTATTCTGTCTTATCAAATGGCGAGTACCTGTATTGTGTCTTATCTAATGCTGAGTACATGTTTTTAGTCATATCTAATGTTGGGTACATGTATTGTGTCTTATCAAATGGCGAGTACCTGTATTGTGTCTTATCTAATGCTGAGTACATGTTTTTAGTCATATCTAATGTTGGGTACACGTATTGTGTCTTATCGAATGTTTTGTACCTGTATTGTGTCTTATCTAATGTTGAGTACATGTAATGTGTCATATCTAATGTTGAGTACCTGTATTGTGTCTTATCTAATGTTGAGTACCTGTATTGTGTCTTATCTAATGTTGAGTACATGTATTGTGTCATATCTAATGTTGAGTACCTGTATTGTGTCATATCTAATATTGAGTACCTGCATTGTGTCATATCTTTTGTTGAGTACCTGTATTGTGTCTTATATAATATTGAGTACATGTATTGTGTCATATCTAATGTTGAGTACATGTATTGTGTCTTATCTAATATTGAGTACATGTATTGGGTCTTATCTAATGTTGAGTACCTGTATTGTGTCATATCTAATGTTGAGTACATGTATTGTGTCTTATCTAATATTGAGTACATGTATTGGGTCTTATCTAATGTTGAGTACATGTATTGGGTCATATCTAATGTTGAGAACATGTATTGGGTCATATCTAATGTTGAGTACATGTATTGTGTCTTATCTAATGTTGAGTACATGTATTGTGTCATATCTAATGTTGAGTACCTGTATTGTGTCTTATCTAATGTTGAGTACATGTATTGTGTCTTATCTAATGTTGAGTACATGTATTGTGTCATATCTAATGTTGAGTACATGTATTGTGTCATATCTAATGTTGAGTACCTGTATTGTGTCATATCTAATATTGAGTACCTGCACTGTGTCATATCTATTGTTGAGAACTTGTATTGTGTCTTATATAATGTTGAGTACATGTATTGTGTCTTATCTAATATTGAGTACATGTATTGGGTCTTATCTAATGTTGAGTACATGTATTGGGTCATATCTAATGTTGAGTACATGTATGGTATCATATGTAATGTTGAGTACCTGTATTGTGTTTATCTAATCCTGAGTACTTTTGTTTAGTCATGTATTGTGTCTTATCTACTATTGAGTATATGCATTTGGTCTTATCTAATGTTGAGTACATGTATTGGGTCATATCTAATGTTGAGTACATGTATTGTGTCATATCTAATGTTGAGTACTTGTATTGTGTCTTATCTAATGTTGAGTACATGTATTGGGTCATATCTAATGTTGAATCCATGTATTGGGTCTTATCTAATGTTGAGTACATGTATTGTGTCTTATATAATGTTGAGTACATGTATTGAGTCATATCTAATGTTGAGTACATGTATTGTGTCTTATCTAATGTTGAGTACATGTATTGGGTCTTATCTAATGTTGAGTACATTTATTGGGTATTATCTAATGTTGAGTACATGTATTGGGCCTTATCTAATGTTGAGTACCTGTATTGTGTTTTATCTAATGTTGAGTACATGTATTGTGTATTATCTAATGTTGAGTACATGTATTGTGTCATATCTAATGTTGAGTACATGTATTGTGTCATATCTAATTTTGAGTACCTGTATTGTGTCTTATCTAATGTTGAGCACATGTATTGTGTCATATCTAATGTTGAGTACCTGTATTGTGTCATATCTAATGTTGAGTACATGTATTGGGTCATATCTAATTTTGAGTACATGTATTGTGTCATATCTAATGTTGAGTACATGTATTGGGTCATATCTAATGTTGAGTACATGTATTGTGTCATATCTAATGTTGAGTACTTGTATTGTGTCATATCTAATGTTGAGTACATGTATTGTGTCATATCTAATATTGAGTACCTGCACTGTGTCATATCTATTGTTGAGTACCTGTATTGTGTCTTATATAATGTTGAGTACATATATTGTGTCTTATCTAATATTGAGTACATGTATTGGGTCTTATCTAATGTTGAGTACATGTATTGGGTCATATCTAATGTTGAGTACATGTATTGTGTCTTATCTACTATTGAGTACATGTATTGGGTCATATCTAATGTTGAGTACATGTATTGGGTCATATCTAATGTTGAGTACCTGTATTGTGTCTTATCTAATGTTGAGTACATGTATTGTGTCATATCTAATGTTGAATACCTGTATTGTGTCTTATCTAATGTTGAGTACATGTACTGTGTCTTATCTAATGTTGAGTACATGTATTGTGTCATATCTAATGTTGAGTACATGTATTGTGTCATATCTAATGTTGAGTACCTGTATTGTGTCTTATTTAATGTTGAGTACATGTATTGTGTCATATCTAATGTTGAGTACCTGTATTGTGTCTTACCTAATGTTGAGTACATGTATTGTCTCTTATCTAATGTTGAGTACATGTATTGTGTCATATCTAATGTTGAGTACATGTATTGGGTCATATCTAATGTTGAGTACCTGTATTGTGTCATATCTAATATTGAGTACCTGCACTGTGTCATATCTATTGTTGAGTACCTGTATTGTGTCTCATATAATGTTGAGTACATGTATTGTGTCTTATCTAATATTGAGTACATGTATTGCGCCTTATCTAATGTTGAGTACATGTATTGGGTCATATCTAATGTTGAGTACATGTATTGTGTCTTATCTAATATTGAGTACATGTATTTGGTCTTATCTAATGTTGAGTACATGTATTGGGTCATATCTAATGTTGAGTATATGTATTGTGTCATATCTAATGTTGAGTACTTGTATTGTGTCTTATCTAATGTTGAGTACATGTATTGGGTCATATCTAATGTTGAATACATGTATTGGGTCTTATCTAATGTTGAGTACATGTATTGTGTCTTATCGAACGTTGAGTACATGTATTGGGTCATATCTAATGTTGAATACATGTATTGGGTCTTATCTAATGTTGAGTACATGTATTGGGCTTTATCTAATGTTGAGTACCTCTATTGTGTTTTATCTAATGTTGAGTACATGTATTGTGTCATATCTAATGTTGAGTACATGTATTCGGTCTTATCTAATGTTGAGTACATGCATTAGGTCTTATCTAATGTTGAGTACATGTATTATGTCTTATCTAATGTTGAGTACCTGCATTGTGTCATATCTAATGTTGAGTACCTGTATTGTGTCTTATCTAATGTTGAGTACATGTATTGTGTCATATCTAATGTTGAGTACATGTATTGTGTCATATCTAATGTTGAGTACATGTATTGTGTCATATCTAATGTTGAGTACATGTCTTGTGTCATATCTAATTTTGAGTACCTGTATTGTGTCTTATCTAATGTTGAGCACATGTATTGTGTCATATCTAATGTTGAGTACCTGTATTGTGCCTTATCTAATGTTGAGTACATGTATTGTGTCATATCTAATGTTGAGTACATGTATTGTGTCTTATCTAATGTTGAGTACATGTATTGAGTCTTATCTAATGTTGAGTACATGTATTGTGTCTTATCTAATGTTGAGTACCTGTATTATGTCTTATCTAATGTTGAGTAACTGTATTGTGTCATATCTAATGTTGAGTACATGCATTGGGTCTTATCTAATGTTGATTACCTGTAATGGGCCTTATCTAATGTTGAGTACCTGTATTGTGTTTTATCTAATGTTGAGTACATGTATTGTGTCATATCTAATGTTGAGTACATGTATTCGGTCTTATCTAATGTTGAGTACATGTATTAGGTCTTATCTAATGTTGAGTACCTGTATTATGTCTTATCTAATGTTGAGTACCTGCATTGTGTCATATCTAATGTTGAGTACCTGTATTGTGTCTTATCTAATGTTGAGTACATGTATTGTGTCATATCTAATGTTGAGTACATGTATTGTGTCTTATCTAATGTTGAGTACATGTATTGTGTCATATGTTATGTTGAGTACATGTATTGTGTCTTATCTAATGTTGAGTACATGTATTGTGTCTTATCTAATGTTGAGTACATGTATTTTGTCATATCTATTGTTAAGTACATGTATTGGGTCTTATCTAATATTGAGTACATGTATTGGGCCTTATCTAATGTTAAGTACATGTATTGTATCTTAACTAATGTTGAGTACATATATTGTGTCATATCTAATGTTGAGTACATGTATTGTGTCATATCGAATGTTGAGTACATGTATTGGGTCTTATCTAATGTTGAGTACCTGTATTATGTCTTATCTAATGTTGAGTAACTGTATTGTGTCATATCTAATGTTGAGTACATGCATTGGGTCTTATCTAATGTTGAGTACCTGTATTGAGTCTTATCTAATGTTGAGTACCTATATTGTGTCTTATCTAATGTTGAGTACATGTATTGGGTCTTATCTAATGTTAAGTACATGTATTGTATCTTAACTAATGTTGAGTACATGTATTGTGTCATATCTAATGTTGAGTACATGTATTGTGTCATATCTAATGTTGAGTACATGTATTGGGTCTTATCTAATGTTGAGTACCTGTATTATGTCTTATCTAATGTTGAGTAACTGTATTGTGTCATATCTAATGTTGAGTACATGCATTGGGTCTTATCTAATGTTGAGTACCTGTATTGTGTCTTATCTAATGTTGAGTACCTGTATTGTGTCTTATCTAATGTTGAGTACATGTATTGGGTCTTATCTAATGTTGAGTACATGTATTGGGTCTTATCTAATGTTGAGTACATGTATTGGGTATTATCTAATGTTGAGTACATGTATTGTGTCATATCTAATGTTTAGTGCCTGTATTGTGTCTTATCTAATGCTGAGTACTTGAATTGGGTCTTATGTTGAGTACATTGAGTATTGTGCTATATCGAATGCTGAGTGCCTGTATTGTGCCGTAAGTTATGCTGAGTACTTGTATGGTGTCGTGTCGAATGTTGAGTGGCTGTTTTGTGTCATATCTAATGTTGTGTACATGTATTGGGTCTAATGTTGAGTACAGAGAATTTTGTGTCATATCGAATGTTGAGTACGCGTATTGTTTCTCGTCGAACGCTGAGTGCCTGTATTGTGTCGTATCATATGTTGAGTACCTGTATTAAATGGAAGATTTGGCAGTTTTTTTGCTGAGATATTTAGCACTATTCCAGATTTATCCCGATGGGGGATCACACATTGGGAAATTGGCTTTAGACATTGTACTCATGTGTTTTTTCTTGAAGAAATCATGCATATAAACTTTTGTCAAATTCGAATCTCAAATACTCCCGCTGTCGCGTACATTTACACAAAGAGAAGTGATATCAATTTCAGACTGAGTGACTGTGACCTTCAGTGGCATTCATATAGGAGGTTTATAAGGTATGCAACATAAGCGTGTGATTAAAAACAACAATTGTGGCAGCTGTCAAAACACAATATGCACTTATTTTATACTGTCAGTGTAAATAACTAAGATCTTTATTGTAACCAGTACATGTATTGTCCTTAGTTTCATTCAATGATAATTCGATTAATTCAGGCTCGCTGACTTGGTTGATGCATGTCATCATATCCCAATTGCGTGGGACCCGTGAAGATTCCGGGGTAGAATAGGTCTTCAGCAACCCATGCTTGCCTTAAAAGTCGACTATGCTTGTCGTCAGAGCCGACTAACGTAATCGGGTGGTCAGGCTCGCTGAATTGGTTGATGCATGTCATCGTATCTCAATTGCGTGGATCGATGCTCATGATATTAATCACTGGATTGTCTGGTCAAAGCTCGATTATTTACAGACCGCCGTCATATAGCTGGAATATTGCTGAGTGCGGCGTTAAACAACAAACCAACAACCCACAACCAACCAAGTAAACTACGTTTATAACGAACACGCTTATAACGAACTGACGGATATAACGAAATGCGTTTTGAACCCGTACGCGTTCATTTGGTGAATATATGCCCATAACGAACTACGGTTATAACGAACTAAAATAAGTGGTCCCTTTGAGCTCGTTATAACCGTGGTATACTGTATTGTCCTTAGTTTCATTCAATGATAATTAGATGAAAAAAATCGACATATTCTTTGATAATTAATGGTAAGTACTACAGATGTGAATAATGGTCGCCTGATATTTAAGAATGTCATCTCACTATTGTCCAGTAGAGCAACACAAAGTGTGTTCTTGGTAGTCATATAATTAAGGCCACAATATCATACTACCTGAGTCTGTCCCTCTCTTCCAGTGAGTTGCATATCAGTAGAGTTTCCCCCAGTCTGCTCAGCCTCCTGGCCACCTCCAGCATTAGAGTTGTGGTTCCACTGCCGGGCTCCCATCTTGCCTGAACATATTTACTGTCAATGTTCTCCACAAGATATACACACTGATCTGTGGTGAGAAAGTTGATACAACTGTCATCTACTTCACCTGTCTCTGTCAGGATTGACTTTGTCTCAGCAACAGCTGCCCAGAAGGCCATCATCACGTGTTCATATTTTGATGGAGTCATCAATAGAGAAGTCTTCGGAACAAAGGATGCAGCTAATGCTGCAATTCTCTGTAACTTTATGAAGCACGTATCAGTGTCTGTCAGGTCACTCAAACTCAAGACTCCATGAATGACGTTGATGCTCTCATTGGTAAACCTGCGTAGTTTTGAAGTCACTTCCCTGGCCACACTGGTGTTATAATTTCTTATCTCCTCGGTTTCACTGCCAACGTCAATCAGAGTCAGCACCATGAGGGGTTGATGGGGCATTGCTATGAAGATGTCACATCTCGTATTTCCTTGCGTTCTTGACACAGGGAAATCTAATAATGTTGCTAATGATTCTGATAAACACAAAAGGCTTGTTGTGTCTTTGTCACTCGTATATTCACCATTAACAATGCTTTCATGGTACAGAACTCCGTCCGTCTTCAGCAGAGAAATGAAGGCATCTCTGATATCCAACAGGTGCTCGGGTATCCTTGATGGAACTACATTTAATGTACCTGTAATGTTAGAGTTATTTGTATTATTTGACCCGTGAAGTTCCGGGGTAGAATAGGTCTTCAGCAATCCATGCTTGTCGTAAAAGGCGACTAACGGGACAGAATGGTCAGGCTCACTGACTTGGTTGATGCATGCCATCGATCCCAATTGTGTGGATCGGTGTTCATGATGTCAATCACTGGATTGTCTGGTCCAGACTCGATTATTTAAAGACCGCCGTCATAGAGCTGGAATATTGCTGAGTGCAGCGTTAAACAACCAACACACACACACACACACACACACACACACACACACACACACACACACACACACACACACACAATATTTGTATTATATTATCAGTCCTTGGACGTTAGAAAACACAACAACTGACAATTGTTTATAATCATCATGTGGTCATGAGGCAATTTGTCATGGTATTTCAATATATTTCATGTTAAATAAGTAAACATTTTATATTTACCTTTCTTCACAAATTTACTTTTAATTGCAGAAATGATGTTTCTGATTGGTTTCAAACGAGGACGCCGAAAATCCTTGCTGTCTAAGCACAATTCTCGCCTTGGTATGTTTTGCATTATTTCCTGAAACATTGACATTGAAATCCGTGAGACATGAGACCCCAATATCACCACTGTAACGACATATCAAACACAAATGCCACTAACGAAAGAAAATAGTTTACCCAAATGTTTGTTTGTTTGTTTATTGTTTAACGCCGCATTCAGCAATATTCCAGATATATGACGGCGGTCTGTAAATAATCGAGTCTGGACCAGACAATCCAGTGATTGATATGATGAGCATCGATCCACGTAATTGGGATACGATGACATGCATCAACCAAGTCAGCGAACCTAACCACTCGATCCCATTAGTCGCCTCTTACGACAAGCATAGTCGCCTTTTACGGCAAGCATGGGTTGCTGAAGACCTATTCTAAACCGGATCTTCACGGGTCCCGAAATGTTTGAAAAACGGTTGTATTCATGATCATGTATTTTGGACCACTTGACTGTAACCATAATTTTCATTTAGATATTTTTCTAAAGTTCTTTTACCTTTTATGTATGTGTATCTCTATACGTAAATTTCCCATCTGAAATGTAATGCAAGGTTTTACGAGGATTTATTTGAACATTTAACACATTTAGCTTTTAATGATATTATATATACATTTCATACTTTTCTTTCCTGAAGCCGTCACTTTATGTGGTCGGCAATGGTGTGCAAAGGTACAAGATATGGAGACATTTACTGGTGTATATGTACATCTTAGCAAGAGCAAAAGAACTGTCTTCAATCATTTCAGTATATTTAATATGTTCATGTCTTGTAATGGAACTGACAAAAATAATGAAAAAAGAATGACACGTAAAGTTAGCAAATAGTTAGCGTCGCTATTTATTGTACCTAAAATTGATCTTTTAAGAAGACCATGTTAGTGAAAGAACAAAAAGATATGGAGACGGTTACTGGACTTATTTGTGATCTATTTGTTTACCTCACTACGCTGTTCTCAATGACGGCGTGGAACCATTCTTTGACAGAGAAAGTTGTGATAGTGTCCCCTTCCACTCTGTAAGCTTGCGGTCCTTGTTTGTCATAGAACACAATACCACTGACAGGCTTGACATGTATTTGGATTATAAAATGTTCAGGTGCCTTCTCGTCAGCATCATGTTTGCCACTGTCTCCAGATGGAATAAAAAATACATCCACTAGCTCATCGTTTGCTTCATTCCCATCATAGTCACAGATTAACACACCTTTTGAAACACCCTCCTTTATTTTAGCTGCTACATTTTGCTGACTACTGATAGGAACTCGCTGTATTTCCACGAACTTTGACTTATAATGACTTCCATTGAAGAAATGCTCTTTTTCTACTATGCCAAGAAAGTAAGTGCCACCCTCTGTGTTCTTTGTAAATGCACCAACGTATTCAAGAAGTTTGTGGTCATCGAACATGAAACCAACTATTTTCTCATCTGTTTCCTTCCCTTTGAAATAACCTTTGAATTGAACTGATCTACTCTCATGCAACTTGGTTAAATCCTCCAATGTATGTCCAGAAGGATGCACTGATTTAAACTGAGTTCTGTTTTTCAGGAATTTTATCAAAGTTGGATCAGATGGACTGATGATTCGTTCATCAAGAGCTATTTTGGTTTTAGAGTCAGATGTTGTGAGATAAAAACCCCCTTCAACATACAGTACAAGGAAATCTTTATACTGATGTGTATCCTTTAATGTATCCTTATCAACACACACAGACAGTTTCTTTTCTACTTTTGACTTGATGTTCTTCAACCTTTCAAGTTCCTGCGATGTCTCAACTAGTTTCTGTCTCAGTATTTTCCGTATTTCCTCAAACAACTCTTCCCCTAGTGTCTCTTTGGCCTTCAGGTCTAGCTTGGCCAGCTGTTCCTGCTGACTTTGATGTTCTTTGATTTTCTTCTCCAGCTTCCCTGATGTCTCTTCAAGTACTCCATGTTGCTTCTTCTGCAGTTTGTCTAGATCTATGGCATAATCACTCAAGAACCGTTTCGTGTAAACATCAGTGAACAGGCTTCCATCTTGAATTAAAGTCTGAAGTTTGTCATCAGCAAATTCATCAAAGGCCCCAGTAAAGGTGTCTTCTTTTTCTCGTCCAACAAAGTGAATCAGTAGATGACCAGAATTAGAATTGCGGAGTGCAGTTACATTTTTCAACAATTCCTTGGTTTTGATAGCCCGCTTTTCCTTCTTCCTTTTATTTTGTTCCCTGTTTTCCTTTGCTAGTCCGTGTATATAGTTGACATGTATTGCCATGCACAAAACATTGGACTGTGTAGAAATGTTTCTGAAGGTATCAAGTGCTTCCTGCCCTCTTGGAATATTTAGACTGAAACGTTAAATATATTTTCTATTTCCGTAACACTTGGTTGAAGAGCAAGATGTGAGAAGAATCTAACTGATGTAAAAAAGATTTGACTCTTTATCCATATCTCCTCATAATAGTATATTCTAACAAGAAGGATATGTAAGTTATGAATAGTTACAGGGAGAGATAACTAAACCATCGTGGTACCTGACGGTCGGTGTCGCGCACTAAGCAGGCGTCTCAGTTTGTGAAAACAGCCTTGCTTCAATGTTCTTATTTCTTCACACAGTGTAACCAAATTGTCATCAGTGAGTGTGTGAGTATGGTTTTACGCCGCTTTTAGCAATATTCCAGCAATATCAAGGCGAGGGACACCAGAAATGGGCTTCACACATTGTACTCATGTCGGGAATCGAACCTGGGTCTTCGGTATGACGAGCGAATGCTTTAACCACTAGGCTACCCGACCGCCCAAATTGTCATCAGACAGTATCGACATTCATCAAATCAAAAAGGGATATGCACTGGCTAGCCATCGGTTAAAGTGGTGGTATTCTAAGTTTGCGACTTCTCTACACTTACTTGGAGGCATCCGAATGTGTGACGTGAAGTCAAGGAAGCGGCCTTGTTTAAAATCTAGATGTCTAATACTGCATATCATTGGAAAGTATATATCCTGACGATGATGAAGATATTCATTGAGTAGTCTGTGAGCTTACTTTAGCGATACAAAATCCCAATAAACAAAGCAGTGTATGTTAATTCAAAACTATCTTGACGGAAGTGATCGTGCTTTGTTCATAGGCAGACAATTTTGCAATCAGAATCACAGAATCTGATGAAATTCCGGTCACGTCCATATAGGTTTAAGTGTCAAATAGTCCAAACAAAGTCATTTTGCTGAATATCAGATATCAATAATTAATAAGATTATACTAACTTAGTATCACCCCACGTAGTTTCAATCAAAATCGTTGAAAACGTCTTAATCGGCAGTAAACAAATTCCACAAATCTATTTTCACATATGAGCATGGCATCGTTGTACAAAGCAGACCTCTAATTTAAGCTTCGGATATTATGGTATGTCGTAATAAAGCTTAAAACGTGAAGCTTGCGCAGGTGAAAGAAGGAAGTATTGTTATTTTTATAGTACAACTATAATGTCAATAAGCAATATTAATAATTCTAATTCCACTTCCAAGCACACCAAGCATACCCTACACATTAAATATTCATTTTCACTCACACTGACCTGTACACAGTCACGCTAGACTAACTCATGACATAAGTGTACACTTTGAAATAATTCAACACTCTTCGCTTCATAACACTTATGATACACAATAAGTACAACAGTAAGCCTTCTTAACGCTAAACAAACCGACACATCCGCTTATATTTGACGTCATTATGATTTCAATCATAAACACTCACTCCGCCATCGTTCAACTTCATATGATACGTTCAAGTTAGAATCGGGTACAGCGGTTGCTGTCATGTGTCGATACTATCCGGGGATCCGCAATCAGGTACGGTGGTGACTGTGGGCATTGTATAAAATGTGTCATGACCCGACCCGGTCAGATGTTAGAGACGTGACCTCTGACTGCGTTCCGTGCTTCCAGGTCACGAAAAGACAACAACCAGGACAACTTCATATAGTTCTGGATTTCAACCGTTGTAGATGCATAGGCCCGGCTTGTGTATTCCCTCAGGCTACAGGACATGGCGCCGTATCTCCAGTTCCAGGTAAAAACGAAAGCACCTTCCAGTTAAATTTGAAAATGTATTACATTGGCTCCAGCATTAATCGTTTTCTTTACTCGAACCTTGCTTTGTTCTTATAAAATGTTTTTTTAACTAAAGGTTTCAGTTTATAGCATTCGGATCCGACTGGGCCGAGACCTGCAAATAATCTAAGGTCCGCCGTGCAGCTCCCACAGGTGGTAAGAACCCAATTAGATCAGGAAATATATGCTTGGCAGAGTTATTAAACCCTTTAACAAACCTCCATTTCTAGATGTTATTGCCGATACGCCTGATAGATAAAAAGGTGTCGGTCGCCACTGAGGGTACGAACAGGCTGACACATCATATTACAATACATTGTTCTTCTGTCTTCTGTCAGCTATTGCGTTGTGTCGGGAATTTGGTGTACATCACTACTGACAATCTGGATAATATAGAAAGCTGCAGTGTTGAGGAGTCTTCACATTCTTCGAAAATGTTCTGGGTGGATTTGATAAGGCAGCGCTTGCTGTGAGAAGTCCCATTCGCTGTCTGGGCTGCGTGTAGAGGGGGCAAGGGCCCTTAGCTGATGATGAGCCTAACCAGTCTGGCTGCCAGGATCACCAAAACCCTCTTTGCCGCATTTCTGTAATGTTATCTGTACATATTAATAAGGGCCTGATGATTTGCCCCTCTCCGTGGATGGCCTAGATATGAAGGTTTTATTCACTTTAACATTACCCAGGTAGGGCTAACCCCTGAAATTGGTTCAAAACTGGGTTACAGAATGTCAAGACGAAAGTCATCTTTTAACTCCGCAGCCCAGTCAGCCTCCATCCGGTATACAAACCAACCAAACTTGAGAGGAGCACAGAACCCATCCAAGAATATCTTGTACACAACAGTGAGTGAGTGAGTGAGTTGGGTTTACCGTCATTGTTAACAGTATTCCAGTTATATCGCGGCGTGTCAGCTTAATGTGGGAGAAAAGCCCGAAGTGATGCAGGTCTCAGACGTTTACCACTTCGGGTATGGTGCTGACAAACCTTGAAACATAATTTGGGCGAACCGGGATTCGAACCCACAGTCATAGGTATCTGGTGCCCAAGGGACGCAACACTGCACAGCAAATCGCGGCGCCTTAAACGAGTGGGCCACCCGTGCCCCCTTTGTACACAACAACTGAAGTCCACACTCCCTGAGCAACAGGGTGGCTAGAAATACCACGAGTAAATGGCATATTACTAAAGCAACATTGGGACAAAACCTTGCTAATGTATGCACACTTGACAGAACTTCCGTGACCAGCTCCGGCGACTAAAATAATATATTCGCCGTGAACCTGTTGAGCTAACTGGCAACATTCGTCAGGCGCCTTTGCATGAACCCTCAGTTTCAACAGTATAAGAAGACCCGAAATTGCAAATGAACGTTTGCATTATTCTCTCTAAATTCCTTGAATCAGTTGTCACTGATGACCCACACATAGGCTAAAAAAAGAAATGAAATTTTCAAAACGCCAAAAGACATGTTGGAAAAATTTTAAAACAAAATACAAGACTAAAAAAAAAGAGAAAATTCTAAAATCAAATACTTGATTCTCTGAAGGCAAAATTAAAGGTTTGGACAGAAAGAACGAGAAGGAAAAGAAAAATAGGTTATAAAGCAAAATAAACTGTTCAAATATAATCTAATGAAAAACAATTAAATGACACCAATGACAGTGATGAGAAAAGACACACCATAGGATTCGAGTGAAAGGTTTTGGAACAGTTGTGGGCTTTACCCGACAACTCCAAACTCGAGGAACCATGGGTTGAGGATAATGATAATGTAGTTGACAAAATAAAGTCACCATTGTTGTGTTTCATTACACCCATTTGTCTGAAAAGGGTAATTAAAAAGTTCAAATCTAATATGGCGCCAGGGCCTGATGGTATTCGAAACCGGTTTTGGAAACTGTTCCCTTGTGTCTGAACACCATTACTTCACTGTTTTAAATTCTCTGCCATCATCCCCAGATACAACAGGCCATGAACGATACCCTCACCCGACGTACCAAATACATTTGCCACCCTGTTGCTCTCAACAGGGAACTGGACCATCTCGAGGAAATATTCGCCTTCCTAAAAGTTACGCTGCCCACCTAATCTCCACAACCATCCACAAGACCCTCAAGAACTCTGATCCCATACCCAAACCTGCCCATCAGAATTACCATACCCTATCAAGGCTCTGTCACTCATCAGATTTCACGCCTCATCAAGAACAAAGCCAACATAGATGTCAACTTTTCTAGCGGCAAGTCCATCAAGACTCATCTATAAGCCAATAACAGAGGCACAATCAGTGTAAGTTCCAACTCCAGAGGATGTATATACCAGATCCCTTGCAACTGTGGCCACCAGTACATTGGAGAAACCCTCAGACCCCTCAACACCCGACTCAAAGAACATCAGACCTCTGTCAACAAACTAGACCAGAAATCCGCTATTTCAAAACAGATCCTCCAGAACCAAGACCATAACATCATGTGGGAATCCACCAAAGTCCTGTATACCAACAACAACTAGCGACAAAGAAAAGTACAAAAAGCCATTGACTTCAGGAGACACCAGCCAGCCATGAACCGTGACCAGAGAACCAGGGAACCTTTCTGCCGAGTGCTTTGGACTTATTGCTTTGATCTTTGTCTAATTATCAAGCTGGCTTCCATTTGCTCATTGCTATTTCTATTCTTTTACCTATCAGAGCTAATTACCCCCGGCCTCCCGTTTGCCCATTGTCCATTGCCAATTACCAATCAGTGATATTTTAAGTCCAGGCTTCCATAACTATCAGCGCTAATTTCTGTAAAGTGTTGGCTTCCATTACCTATTGCTAATCACCTATCAGCGCCGATTATCTGTTGGCTTCCCTTGTTTAGTTTCCACCTTTTGTTATCTTATTACTTTTGTTGTTTTTACATGACATTGTACATATATATGGTCTCTGCCTCATAGCATTCTTACAATTATACTCTCTAGAAGCTAACATAAACCAAGACCAAAACCCTCAACCCCTAATCACCAGCACGCGTAGAATAACCTCAACTAGAAACGGAAAAACGGTCCCAACCTCCATTGTCATAATCAACTTCAAAAAGACCGCTAAATTCCCTGAAGCCCCCAAACACATATCCTTCGGAGCCCACACCAACTTAGAAGTCAAACCCTATATAAAGCAGGTTAAGCAATGTACAAAGTGCCTCAAATACAACCACACTGCCTCCCAATGCACATACCGTAAAAC